ACCCTGTCTCTAAACAAAAAATAATAAGGGCTGGGGATTTTGGCTCAGTGGTTAAGCACCCTGGGTTCCATCCCTGGTACAAAAAAAAAAAAAAAAGTCTATGTAATCCTCCTCTGTTTGTCATTTGGGTTGATTAAAAAAAAAAAAAAAACACCAAGGTGGCATATGCCTGTGATCCTAGAGACTCAGGAGACTAAGGCAGAGGATCACAAGTTCAAGGACAGCCTCAGCAACTTAGGCCCTAAGCAACTTAGCAAGACCCTGTCAGAGTTATGCAAAATATAACAATGAGATACCCTGGTTTTACACCTGTCAGAATGATAAATATGAAAATGGTGGATGCCCAGTGATGGTAAGGATGTGGAGGACAGGAACATCTTTTCTGGAAAGCAGTCAGACAAAGCACAGGTATTTAAATATCTCAGAGAAATCCTAGTACTAGTCTAAGAAGGATAGACAAGGTGATTAACCTGCCATCATTTGTGGAGGAGGGAGTTACAGACAACCAGGTGCCCATAATAAGGAATAGGTAAGTGGGAAGTGTACACCATGGGAGGACAACTAGCACTGGGAAGCTACAAACCCTAGGTACTTACAGACATGGTTGGGACTTTAAAATGATATGTGTGGGGAAAAAAACCCACAATACCATTCATATAAATTTAAAATATACACAGACAAAAAGGACAACATATTGGGCCAGGAATGTAGCTTAAGTGGTAGAGAGGGTGCTGTGCATATGTGAGGACCTGGATTTGACCCAGCACCAAAAACAAAACAAAACAAAAACCCACCATAGTTTTACCCTGACCCCTTTCCTCATTGCTCTCTATCCCTTTTCCCTGATATATACTTTCCAGGAGGGTGGGGACCCTGTTCATCTCTATTACTGCTATATATCCAGCAACTAGAACAGAGCCTTAGATGCTGTTGATAGTCAATAAATATTTGTGTCATGAGTAAATGAAGAACACATAGCCAACAAAAGTGAGCCTTTGAGGAAAGAAGAGGGCAAGAATGAGAGGGGGAAAATAAATAAAGGACATAAAATAATGGTATGCCATTATTGGTCCATAAAAATCATTACAAATTATTTCATCAAATTCATTATTATAGCAAACTATGCCGGGACTGGTAAGGTTTCCACYTGCCTGGCCAGCCTCCCTACTTTACTTTTCCTTGCTGCAGCCAGGAAAACCCCGCCAGTTCCTAAAATACCTATCACCTCGTGCTCTTTGCARAAGTTACCCCTTTGCCTTTATTGCTTTTTCTGGTTTTTCAAAAAGCTAGCTTCATCTGGACATTCAAGTTTCTACTTGATGTACTGATGAGCAACCAAAACCTCTAACTTCTGGGAGAATGGGCAAGACAGGAACCTGACTGCAGGAGCACTGAGAGGGAAATGAAAAGATCCAATGAACTCTTGTGAATATTAGCAGGGACTATGCACTTCTGCACTGTCCGATGTCCCCAGAGCAGGCTCCCCTCACTCTATCCCTGTTCGGGATCTTACCAAGCTTTTGATCATCTCGTTTTATGTTTCTACTTGTTGCATATAAACCCAGGCGGAGGTCGTGACTGCTCTACCGTGTACCTGGTACCCACAGAGCAGACGCTTCCGGACGCTGGGTTGAGCGGGGACACCCGCAGAGCCACCCAGGAGCAGTGAGTCCTGAACAGCGGGAGGAGGGAGACCATCTGTCCTGGAGATGGGCTTGGGGTCTCACTGCTGCCCTGGGCGGGGCTGAACTCCTGGGGCCCCGTGAGCCTCCTATCTGGGCCTCCTGAGTAGCCGGGACAAGTACAGGCCACCAAGCCCAGGCCCAAAACGTGAGGCCCGTGAACAGGGCCGGTGGGGCCAGAGCCGGACGGAGGGGACGAGGCCAGGCCCGGCTCCGGGGAGCTGGGAACCGGCTCGKCGCCGCAGTGCAGGGGCGGGGCGCCAGGGCACAGCCTCCCTTTAAAGCGTCCAGTACTGTCCACACGAGGCCGAGGCGGACGCGGTTCGGTTGCGCGGCACGTCGGGTCCTCTACCCCGTGATTCCTCCGCGGCCGGCGCCGTCCGGGGCGCTCAGTCCGAGGCAGCGCGGTCGCCGATCGCTGAGGAACCAGGGGGCAGTGGGCCGCCGAGCCCAGCTCACTGGGGCCGGGGCTCGCACCCCATCTAGCGGCAAAGGCCTCTTCCTTTGAGCCGCTTGTGGACAAAACCGGGCTTTCCGGCGGAAGGAGCGGCTGCTTGTGGCGGGCCCACGGCAGGTCACCTCGGGTGGTAAACGTCACCCGACTCCTCCCGGCTCGGGAGCGGACTGGGCAGCACCCGCGCGGCCGCCCCGCCCCGCCCGGGAGCCCGCGCCGCCCACCCTCCGCCCGCCCGAAACCGCGGGAATTGCACTCGGGCGAGGACCCAGCTCGGAACTGCTGCTCTCCCTCATCCTCCACCTTACCTCCCGGCGGCGACCAGCTTCTGGAGAAAAGTGTCCACCGTGGTGTCAAGGAGTTTCACCCGCGAAATGGTAGTGCCGGGTGACACGGACTCGGAAGACGACCCCTCAGACCTTTTTTCCTCAGCTGCAGCCAGATGGGCGCTACCGGCTTCCGCCATGTTGAAGTCGAACCGCCAAAGCGAACTGGTCCTGCCGCCCCACCCACCTGGGCCCCCGATTGGGTGCTTCCGCACGGGATGCCTCCGATTGGGCCCGGCAGAACGTCTGTCAGCGAGCCGCAGGGGGCGGGGCACCTACGAAGTCAGAGGGCGGGGAAAGCCAAGAGGGACGCAGTGCGCCSGGAAAAACACGCACAAGCCAAAGCTCAGGGGCTCGTAAAAACTTTTAATTACACTTCAAAGACATCGTACAGTGCAAAAGTGAACATTCCCTGCTGATATTCACAAGAGTTCATTGGGTCAGACGTTCACGTGTTTTCATTTCCCTCTCAGTGCTCCTGCAGTCAGGTTCCGGTCTTGCCCATTCTCCAGGAGTTTCTTCTAGTT